TTTGGGGAGGGAGATGGGGGGCAGGAAGGGGTGCAGAGTGGCCTGGGAGGAAGCTGGGGGTGGGCTGGAGGTAGTCCAGGATGCAGTATGGGATGGGAAGAGGGTTCACAGTGGGTAGGAGAAGGGGGAGGGTGGGTTTCGGGGAAAGAGGAAGTGTGAGGGGGATGCTGGGGAGGGTATGAGGGTAAAAAGGAGTGGGAAGGGATCTGAGAAGGGTTTGGGGGGAGACGGGAGGGTGACAGGAAATTGGGGGGGGGGGTGCAGAAGGGGGTTGGGAAGGGATGTGTGGACAGGAGGGATAGGGATGTGGGGTAATTTAGGGAGAGGTGAGTAGGGGCAGGTGGCCTGGAGGGGAAGAAGCTCCTGGGGGAATACTGGAGTGGGGTAGAGATGTGGCTGGGAGCTTCTGAGGGCAGTTTTGGGGCAGAGAGAGTCTTAGGGGCTGTGGATGAAAGAGTGTCTGCAGGCACTGGTGGGTTGCTGGTTAGATTTAGGATTATCTCTGCCTTGTGGAGGAGGGAGCCTCAGGTGAGAGGTGGTTGCATGTGCCAGGGTACACTGCTGCAGCAAATCCTTGGCAGGATTTTCCAACAACTGTGCAAATGCCCAAATACAAAGCAGTGATGGGTCCTGCAGCTCTCACCCAAAATGTGTGGACTCAGGTCATTTTGTTGTCTGGCTAAACGCCACCTGAAGGGACCTAAGGGCTGTTTTGCTGCTGTTTGAATACAGATGTGTCGGGGAGCACAGACAGCAGCTGCAGCAGCGCCCCGTATCAAGAAGTTTGCCATCTACAGATGGGATCCTGATAAGCCTGGGGACAAGCCCCGCATGCAGACGTATGAAGTGGATTTGAATAAGTGAGTATGCCCCATTAGGGAGAGGCTTTGCTGCTAGGCAGGTGCATTGGGGCTGTGTGTGCATGTGGGGTTATCTGCCAAGTGATAATGGAGGGTGGTTGAGGAGCACTTGAGCTGACAGCTAAAGGTGTCAGCAGACTCATTAAGCTTCAGGGACTGTTAAAACCTTGCTGGAGTGGCTGGGGGGGAGGGTGGGGTGCCTCAGCTGTGTTACAGAGCAGCTTGTTCTCAGCACAGGTAAGATTAATGTTATTTCCTGACAAAGAAAATTTTACTATGATTATGTGGGATTATTTTTCCCTCCCTCACCTGTTGGTGCTGAGTGTGACAAAACTGTACTCTGAATGCCAGTGTCAGTAGCTGTCAGCAGTAAAATGATTGCTTTGTTTTGTGACTTCTGTGAGATTTTACCTGTGTTCCTGAGTTAAGTTGAAGATGTGAAGATGTTTCATGGCTTTAATAAGCTTTATTTATATAGTAAATCTGGGGCACGTTCCAAAAGGAAACTTTTATGTATAGCTCACAGTCCCAGACCTAGGAGATAAGGTGGAAGCTTTATCAACTCTTCTCATAGTTTTCTTCACACTTAGTTATTTCTAATTTGCAGGTGATGTTAAACTTGTAGTAACCACCTGCACACTTTGCTGTAGCTATTGCCAAGAAAGCTCTTACTTCTCTGTGATTCTGCGAAGGAGTGCGGTCTTCCCTGTGGTGCAGAAACCTTCACATGGGCATGTGTGCCTTGCTTTCCCTGAGCTCCACTTGCTGCTGTGCTCTTGCCAGAGGAATTCACCTCAAGCCCTTTCTGAAAGCTTCAGATACAAAGCCACACAGCTCCCTATTTAGGAAGCAGATGACGGAGAACTCAAATTTTTGTGACTTGCACCAGTTAATTTCTGGGTGTTGCCTTGTTTGCTGTATATAAAATTACATAAGTTGTCCAAGACTGTTTGGTTTTGTGTGCAGCACTGCCTCTTGTGACTAATGAGGACAGGCAGACTTGTTAAAACCTGACCCAAAATAAGAGAACCAGTAGCAAGGCACTCGATTTTTATTTGTGCTGTGTGAACCCTCTTCAGATGAGCCAGATCTTCTGAGCATCAGCAAAAGAAAGGGCTTCTTTCCCACCCTGACCCTGGGGTGTGCTGGAGCAAATAGGTCATGCTGCTGATAGAGAGATCTCTGTCTTTTTGCCTGGGATGGGCAAAAAGTGTATTCTTAATTGTAGTTGATCAAAGCCCTTTTAGGGGGTGCCAGAGATCATGCACTGAGGCTGGGGGGGTTTGTACAGGTTCACCGACTTTGTTTTCTGTTATAGATGTGGGCCTATGGTGCTTGATGCTCTGATCAAGATTAAAAATGAGTTGGATTCTACTCTCACCTTCCGCAGATCGTGCAGGGAAGGTAAGAAGGATTTTCCAGCCTGCTAAACTGAAGATTGTCTTTCAAGACTGTTGCTGACGGTGTATGTGTAACCACTAGAAAACTTCAGGGTAGATGGCAGCATACCACTCTCCTCTTCCAGCTGCTGCATATGAAATACCTCGATGAACCAAGTAGTAAAAAGTTAAAGCTCATATTCACAGGGCGTAATCGCACAACACTGAGCTGTGAGCAATATGCTTAAACAGCCACAGTCGTTCCTGTTTCTGTTCTAATCTTGTTCATCTTGCTGCCCTCCAGTGATGGACTGCGTAGGGAAATCTAGCAAGAGAGATTACAACAGCAAAATTGAGGGGGCAGAAGTGGCGAATGGGAATGAATTGTAGGGGCTGCTTTATCTAGTGCTGCTGTGGAAATAAAGGGTGTAACTGGAAGAGTACTTAGAACTTCTAGGAATAGCTTCAGGAATCTTTTTTTTGGCCCTTTGACTAAGCTAAATGATTGATTGAGGAAAAGGCCATCTGGTGGTTTTGCATTGCAGAGCGACTGGCTGGTTCTCATACAGGGACAAACCGGCATGTCTGTTTAACTGCATTAAAACTTACCTGTCCAGGTGACTTTCCCTGTTAAAAAAAAAAAAAAAAATCCTGATTCATGGGTAATGTTAGGATGCTGAGCTTTAAATGATAGTTGTGGAAATGCAAGAAGGGAGGATGCCTTTATGGAATGACTTTTGATTTAATTAGGTGGGTTTGCAAGTATGAGAAATTTAGGTACAATTGATGCCGAAAGATGTTTTGCCTTGGATCTAAATGAAAAGCATGCTTTAATGCAGCCATTTCCTGTAGAATCTGCATAGCAGGTGGAGTAATTTCATATGGTGTAGTTCTCAGTGTCTGATATTTAGATAGCCAACACTGTTCCCGAGCAGCTGGAATTAATTGCCCTGAATACTTTTCTTTGAGAACCTGAAGACAGATTTTTCAAGCTGGGCTGGTTCAATCTTGCCCCTTTTCTGCCATGCAGGAAAAAAAAAAACCTGATCACACATTCCTGTTTCATACTCGTGGGCCTGTGTCTGCAGTCCTGGTTCCCTCTCCAGTTGACTGGAAAATACTTGTAACCATTTCTTGAGTGGGAGGAATAACCTTGTTCAAGTGCCAGCATTTATTTGGCAGCGAAAGCTAATGCATCAGCCGCTGAGACGCACTAGCTCATCAGTGTGAGGAGCAGTGGCATTTCTCTGACTCATATCAATTGATATGTGTCAAATCCTCTGATATTAGAGTTTTGCCCTTTCAACATTTGTCGTCTTGCTAATATGATGTTTTAGGCATCGGACTGAATTGGATACCCGAGCTCCTGACCTGAGCAGTATCTGTGACTGTTCTGCAGCGGTTTTTCTTCCAAACCTTGGCCTTTCCTGGGCTTCATCTGATCCTTCTATTACTGGGAGATCATTAGTGGTGTCATGTAATCCATTTGTTAAGCTATTTATATGTTGTTTGTTCTGGTTAGTGTCTGTCCTCTCACCTTTGGGAGTTAATGAATACAGTTTATGGCACCACTCTACCCTGCTGCAGAAGGCACAGAATGAAGCTTCTGTCTTAGGGACTTTGTTTTATGTTCCTGACCTTCAGGGATGCTTTTGACCATAACTGTAGGGCTGATGGGGGATGCGCATGGTTCCCACGTCATAATCTTGGTGTTAGCTGCTTCACATCAATACAAGCTTGTGCTTCAAACTTGTGAACAAAGCTGAATGTTTTCCCCACCCTAAGTAGCATGTAAAACTAATGAATGATGCGAAAGGGATGAAGTGTCCAAGCCACTTGTTTTCTGCTGTGGAAGGAAGTTTAACACCGAGAATGTGTTTAGGCTTTAATGAAAGTGACTCCTGTGTTTGTTCTTTATTTAAGTAGCAATGTGTTTGGCCCAATGGCAACTTCTGGCGTTTTCCTCGTCACGTACAGAGTTTCTTGAAGACAGCCTAGGGGCATGTTTGGGGCCAAGAGGATCTTCCTCAAGTTGGATAAGAGGGTAAATATCTAATGCTTTACCCTTTTTTCCCACTCAGGCATCTGTGGCTCTTGTGCTATGAACATTGCTGGTGGAAACACGTTGGCCTGTATCAAAAGAATTGACCCCGATCTCAACAAGATCACTAAAATCTACCCTCTCCCCCACATGTATGTGGTGAAGGACCTTGTTCCAGTGAGTATCTGCCTTTGTCAGCTTGTGACCAAGGGTGACACCGTTCCAGGCAGTGTGGGGTTCAGATTGGGTTGGAAAGGATAACATTGGGAGGTGCCAACAAGATCAGGTCTCACAGTTCATGTTACTCCTGCTGGTGTTTTCTGGCTTGGGTGGGTCTGAGCTTCACAGCAGTGACTAAATCTGTCCTCATTTGGAGGAATGTGGCAGGTTGAGGTCGAAAATGCCTTCTTCTGTTGGAGTGGTAGCAGATGTTCAATCTCTCATGCATCAATTTAGCTTAATAAATGTGACCTCTTTGCCTTTTGACTCCTAGGACTTGAGTAACTTCTATGCACAGTACAAATCCATCGAGCCTTACCTGAAGAAGAAGGATGAGTCGAAACAGGGCAAGGAGCAGTACCTGCAGTCCATAGAAGACCGTCAGAAACTGGTTACTGCTTCTTTTTTACCATTGAAATCCCTTCCAGATAAGACCAGGGTTAAACGTTAACATGCAGTAGCCTCTAGTTCCTTTAATGACAAAGCTGTCTGGTACAAAACCTGACGTGGGTGGAATCTGCTCCCTGAAATGCAGTGTCATGGCATGCCTGCATTGCTAGGGGTAACATTTGCTAATGAAATGTGGTTGCAATGGGGACTTGGATCTCATTTTCACTGACTGCACTGCGAAACTGTGTGTGTTTGTAAAAACTTTGTGAAGGCTACAGGCTTGTGATATTCCAATGGAGATAAGGCACTGTATGCTGGCATGTAGGCTGTTGGGCTCAGCACTGTCTGTCTTGTCTAGCTGCAGCATGCTAAGCAATGCTCTCATGTTGCTGCTTGCTGGGTTTTACAGCCCTAAAAACTAATGGCAAAAGCTAAACCCTTTTGGATGTGGAGACACAAGCATGATGTGTTAGTGCAAGTCTTCGGATATCTGTCTTGAGCACTGCGTTATATTGGGGGATTTTCTGGGAACGTAGTATTGTTGCTCCAAGGTTTCTGCATAAAGCTGAAGGGTGCCTGAGGAACCATTTGAACAGCTGGGACATAATAGCTTTTTTAAAAGCTTATAGTGTGAGGAAGTTCTTGTCTGGATTTCCTTGGCTGCCACAGTAAGTATCATTAAATCAGCAGTTTCTCTTTTGCTTCTGACCTGTCTTGATGAATCTGCCACTCACTTCACGGTTCAAAGCTCAGCCTGTCAATGCTCCACTGTGATTGTTGCTGTGGTGCTGTCACTAAGTAGGCGCAAAGTGGGCAGGCAGCCCAGATTTTTGGCAAGTGGTAAAAGAGAGGTGAATATGAACAGCAAAGAGGAAGGCTGATTAAAGGGGGTTCAATGAAAACATGTGAGCTGCACCTAATTCTCTGTAGTGATCTTTGAAAGTTTTCCATTATGTGTGTTTGCTGTGAAGTTAAGGTCTAATGAATAGACCAGTCATGTGCCCAAGATATTGGCAGCACTGTGTGATTGGCGCTGTGACGTCTTAAGGACCACAGGATTTTACAGTCTGAAAGAATATCCAAGGGCAACAGTTAGTTCTACTGCACCGCTTCATAATGTGATCTGATCTGTACATAAGGACTAAAGGGACTCTCCCTTCACATGGTTTTCATAAAGTGACATCCTTGAAATCACTTTCTCATTCAAGTAGAAATAAGCAAACCTAAAAGTTGACTGCAAGAGCTGTCTGAACCTTTCTCACAACTAGTAAACTTGCTTTTCATCTCATTGCTGAAGTTTCTCTTGCTTTGAGAACGGCCTGTGTGCAGGAGAAACTTGGATACAGTGTCACCTGAAAAACTGACCTTTTTCTTTAAATCATCAATCATTTAAAACATTACAATTAGAAATAAAAATAATTCAGAGCGAGAAGGTAACTCTGACTTACCTGGCTTTGGCAAGTCTTTCCAAAAGACTAATGCAGGAGACTTGTTACAAACTCCAAGGAGTTCTGGCATCAGGTATCTTTCTAAACTAAATTTAATGAGAACTTTGTCCCAAAACAACTTTCAGATACATAAATTAAGCCAGACTAGACTCTCTCTTAGCCTGGGGGGTTGATTGAGCTACTAGGAGACTTGGGAGACCCTCAGACTCCTCAGAGTTTGTCTTTTGCCCAGTGTCACTTCCATGTAGGTCTGCCTTTCTTTTCTTCAGCGCCTGAAATAAAGAAGGCTTTCATCTCTGTAAAAGTGGTGAAATGGCTAAAGACTCACACCTTTCCTGTTCTGTGAGTGCTTGGGGATCCCCTCAAAGCACATACTAAACTATGAGCTCTTCTCCCTTAGGCTGTGGGGCAGACTTTGCTCTTTCTTCTCTCCTGTAACATGGCCTTGAATTTTTAAGTGGTTACATATCTGTTCCTTTCCTCAGCCACTTACTGGGACAGGCTGGAAGGAAGGAATGGAGGAAGATCAAGCAATTTTCTCATTTTTCTTCAGTTTATGCTTTTTTCCCCCTGTTGTCACAAACCCTAGTTTATTATACGGGTTGAGTTGAGAGATTGCATGCATCTTGTTTCAGAGAACCTGCATGTAGAAATTGCTTTCTTCCGTCAGTGCTTCTTCAGCATAAGGTTTTCGGAGCCACTCTGTTGCAGCAAGTCACTGGAGAGGAAGGTGGTGAAGGAAGCATGTGCTCTTGTAAATCCCCTCTTTTAAAAAAAGAAAAAAAAGCTTCGTCATGGGTTTCTGGAATGGCTTGACTGTGGTCTCCCACCCCCATGCAGGACGGACTCTACGAGTGCATCCTGTGTGCCTGCTGCAGCACCAGCTGTCCCAGTTACTGGTGGAATGGGGACAAATACTTGGGTCCTGCGGTACTGATGCAGGTAAGGACAGATCCCATTTGTCATGTGGGACTGCTGAGGGACTTCCCATCTGAAAGCAGCATAAGTATTTGCAAGTGCAGGTGGGATAGCATTACATAGTTGAGATCCTGGACCAGGATTCCTGAGTTAGGTGTTGCTTTTAAAATCTCACACTAATTACAACACCTTGAAGCAGCATTTGGTGTGTCAAATGCCACTGACTTTCAGGCCTATCGCTGGATGATTGACTCCAGAGATGACTACACAGAGGAACGCCTGGCGCAGCTTCAAGACCCATTTTCTCTCTACCGTTGTCACACTATCATGAATTGCACGAGGACTTGCCCTAAGGTACGTGTGTGTCCTGCAGATGTCCCTTCTGGGGTTACTGGCTAGTTTCCAAGCACCCTGTTTGAAAACAATAGGAAAATACCTGCTTAGGCTTTTGTTTTCCTCAAGCTTGCCTAGGCTTGTTCAGCCTTTTGAAACACAGTGAGTTACCAGCAGTCGTGCTTATGATGGTGACTGTACATGAGGACGTGGCAAAGTGTGTATTACACATCGCGGGAACATCTCTTCTGTACGAGCAAAGCTGTGACTTTGAGAACCTGTCTGTTTCCAAGATTCAGGAGTGTGACAGGGCCGTGTGAGGTCGTGTGAGGGACACTGCCAGAAACAGTACAGGGAAGTTTGTCTTGCGTAGTCAGATCAGTGGTGTGAGCATTGTGAGTAATACGCCTAACCCCCACACGGTGCAACCTTAAACTCCAGTGGTAGCAGCTATCCCTGATGTATTGTGCAACTTGTGTAATGGAGAACTACAGCAAGTTTATGGTGCCTTTGGGGGATGTGTTTTATGCTGACATCCTGCTGCCAGGGCATTTCCCAGATGGTCTGTTCTCTGGTATTTTGTTTGAAAACTGAGCAAGCTTTCCCAAATCGGAGCATGCCTCTTCCTCATCTTGCGATGACCTTGTGCCTGTTGTTGGGCAGATTATCAAGTTTTGCTTTCCTGCCAGCTGTGCAGTTTTCTAGCCAGCCTTTGCTTGCACCTGGTGGTGGAATAATTCTCTTTGAGCTGTGAAATAATATGAAGGCAAATGTTTAAGTGGATCACAGATGTGGGGAAGGTGAGATGCTTGAGATACGGGTTGATGTGTTTGTCAGAAGCACTGCGTGCTGATTTTTTGTGTGTGTGTGTGTATTTTTCTAAAGTGATTCATTGACTACAGATAATTCCCCCTTTCTGTAGGGAGTTAGCTTGTGATCTGGTGTCAACCATAGTTCAGCTAAAGGTGAAGGTTCAACCTGAAGATCTGTCTGGCTGTAGGAATGTATGTAGTACAGGGAAATAGCGCTTGGTCTCAAGTTTGAGACACTTTTATGGTTAATAACATGTTTCCACTCACATGCTCTAATCCTGGCTGTTGTCTCGATCAGCCCGGAAAGACTGCATGGTGAGCTCTGCACCAGGGTAATTTCCTGTTCATTCTCTGTCCTGCCGTGCTACTGCTGTAATCGCAAGGATACAGCAGGGTGGTTGTGATCCCTCTCTCATTTTGAGATTAGGCATGCTTGGTTTGGTAGCAGTGCTACAGGATTAAGGGCCTTTGCAAGGTGACATGTCTATATTGTAGAAAAACCTTCTTAGGAAAGCTTAGCTGGCTTTTGCGTGAAGAGCATTTTCATTTTGTGCCTTAGTGTTCTTGCTCACTTCCCTAGCGTTCTCCAGTACACAGCTTTTTTTTTTTTTCAGACAAGGAGAAAAGCCATGTCTCTTGTACTGTCACTGTCAAGCTTTTACAAGACAGTTTCTTGACTCCAGAAGTCATCTTGTAATACTTGTAAAAGTGTTGAATTCAGTCCTGCTTGAGCTTTATTAGAAGTTCCTATCACTCAGCCACTCATTCTTCCCTTTGATCCTCACGTTGCTGATTAAAACCAGTCTTCCAAAGTCAAATGAGCATTTTTTTCTTCAAGCAGTGGGAAATGCTGCAGGTTCAGCCTCCAGGTAGAGGAGGTGAGCTCCCAGCACTGCATCTCTACTCCAAGCTGGCTTGCTTTTCCCTTGTAAATTGAGACTGGAGTGCAGTGAACCTGCATCGGCACACCTTAACCAAGCGGCTCTGCATACCATAATGCTCAGCCTGCCTGGAGCAAGGCTGTTCAGAGCTGTCCCTCAATATCCTGTAACCTCCCAGCATTTGAAAGGAAGCACAATATTAGGCTGGACTCCAGCTTTTAGGAAAAAAAAAGGGGGGGGGGGGAGCTGCTGAGCACCTCCTCTGCCAGCTATTCTTATGAGTAGCAGCATATTTGTGAGTTTACTATGACTTAGATTGGGGCAAGGCCGGGGAGGATGTTCTAACTTGCTGATTTCCAGAGGAGCTAACAAACTTTTCCTTCTTAGGGTTTGAACCCTGGCAAAGCAATTGCTGAGATCAAGAAGATGATGGCAACTTACAAAGAGAAGGCAACCGCTGCATAATGCTGTTCTCTAACTGGAAGTGTAACACACAAATGTGCTTTACCTGAAAGTAATTTATACCTGATTTAGCAAGAGAAGGTTCCAGCAGGGAGTTTGGTGTTTTTCTTAAAGGTTTGCATGTACAATAAATACTGTAAAGAACAAATAAGAGTTGTTACTTGGTTAACAATATTGAACTGATGCCTCTGCCTCTATCGTAGAATCCCAAACCTCTCTGTTTGAGAGTTTTGAGTGTGTGAGCAGCTGGGGTCACTTCTGAGGCTCTGCTGTGGGATAAGGATTTGAAAGTGGCCACACAGCAGAGATGGAGACAGAATTTCTGTAATGACCTTGATCCCATGTCGTTAAAGCAAATGCATGTGTGGGAAGAGACCTGCAAGTAATAAACCCTGTGGCGATTAGCAAGAAAACAATGGAACTGGCTGGGAAAGGGAAATGTTGGAAGAATCTCACCCTGTTCTGAGATCCCCTGGGCTCCTTGGTGAGGTACAAAGTGAGGACCTGGAGCTCACAGGGTGCAGGCATGTGGCAAAATACTGGTGGCAGTGCCACTAGGAAAGAGGTGTCTTGCCACTGCCCTGCTGGGATGCTTATTTTTATTTCAAGTCCTGAAGTAGATGAGATTTGTTAGAACAGGGTTGCATCTTTCTCTTTGCTCTAGTACAAGTGGTTTTTAGCTCCAGATTTCTCAAGCTTGTGATGTTTGTGGTAGGTGGTTGCTTGAAGCAGCTGTTTGCAGTCTTAGGGGGGTGGACAGAAAGGAAGTGCTTTCTGTTTTGCTGCTTAATAGATTTTTTTTTTTGTCTAGGTGTAGTAAAAACTTCTAGAAATGTCATGATGCTGCTTCTGAGACATGGTATGGTAGCCAGGATGCTGCCAGTGAGCAGCAAATGAAGGTTGAAGTGGCATAAAAAGTTATATACAGCTCTGGAAAGGCTTACCCCCAAAATTACCCTGCTTTTTCCATACATTTATCCTGCAGTAAGGGAACCTTGTGGCTGTTTCAAGAAGCCAAGCTGATGTTGCTGTCTTAATTTTCATTTGCAGAAATACTTATTTTCCTGGAGCTAATGTCTTTATTCCCAAGAGCTGACGTGAGGCAGACTTCTGTAGGTCAGAGACTTTACACTTAAAATCCACGTGTGTCAGGCTGCTCTTCCGTGTCACTGAATTGCCCCTGTTTTCTGTATCTCAGGTGAGCTGTGGTTAAAAAGGGGTGAGTGCTGGTCCTGTGATGGAGAAGACCCAACTGCTCATGTTAGACAGCAGGGGTGTGTTGTCAGTCCCATGATACCGATATTTCTGCCATATCCCTGTGCTTCATAATCTCGTCTCCCTGCTTAAATCCAAGGGGATCCCATCAACAGCTTGAATAAAAAGAGCTTTGTGATCCCCCTTCTCTCCCACTATTCCCTTCTCTTTAGTTAACGTGGGGGTTTTTTTGAACATGAACTGGGTTTTGCCTTGTTTTATTAAAAAGCTAGGCATGCTTGCTGAGAAGAGGGTTGGATGGAAATGCAGCAGGGTGCAGAGGAACTGAAGGCAGCCCCTCACTGCTTTGACTGTCGCTGCAGTGGCTGAGGTTTTTCTGTTCTGATAAACACAATCCGCTTCACCTTTGGCTTTGGAAGGAAGCACAGGCTCTACCTGTGGCACATCCAGAGGAAATATTTGCTGTATCTCCCTTCCTGTGAAAGAAACCAAAACTGCCTTGTGCAAGGGTGAGTACAGAGGGGAGGGCAGTTGCTCTTTAGCTGCAGCTGAGTGTGGTGGTGGTGGGCAGGAGCAGCCCTTCTCACAGGCATTGTCTATTTCTGGCAGTGGTTTTGCAGCGATTGGAGCCCCAAAAAGCCAAGCTTTGGCTGGAGGGGTCTGTTTGAGGGGTGTTAGTGGGGTCTGCACCTGATTGTTGGCTTCAAAATCCCCCTTACTGTAACCTTCCAAGAGGGAGCCCTGCTGCAGTGAGAGCTGTGTGCACTCCCCACACTTGCGGGAGTGTGCAGGGATGTGCAACCGAGGGGGGAGAAAAGAGGGGGGCTACAAAGCCCTTTTTGGGGGTAGAGCCTAGTGTGTTTCCTTGCAAGATACAGGGGTGCAAAGCCCTTTTTGGGGGTGGAGCCTGCTGCATTTCCTTGCAAGATATAGGGGTGCAAACCCTTTTTGGGGCCAGAGCCCAGTGTGTTTCCTTGCAAGATATGGGGGTGCAAAGCCCTTTTTGGGGGCAGAGCCCAGTGTGTTCCCTTGTGAGATATGGGGGTGCAAAACCCTTTTTGGGGGTGGAGCCTGGTGCGTTTCCTTGCAAGATACGGGGGGGCAAAGCCTGGTGTGTTTCCTTGCAAGATATGGGGGTGCAAACCCTTTTTGGGGCCAGAGCCCAGTGTGTTTCCTTGCAAGATACAGGGGTGCAAAGCCCTTTTTGGGGGTGGACCCTGGGTATTTTGTTGGTGGGGGGGCGTAGAGCCCCCCTCGAGGGGCAGACCCAAGTGCATTGCCGTGCCACGGAGCGGTTGTAAAGCCGGGGGGGAGGGGGGGGCCAACACCCCGGGGTGTCTCCTGCCTTTTGGGGGGTAAAGGACTACAAGTC